ACAGTGTCAAAGCTTCGGGAAAGTCCTCACTTTTCTGGAAAGAGAATAAGTGGCAATGGTAAATATTGTTGCTCGATGTCGCCGCTGCGGGAACCGGCGGGGGCAATCCGCCGAGAAACGAACTTGAAGCGACGAGGGGACTTGCTGCGGACTGAATCGTGACTCTGTCGTCAGAAAACCTGCCAGTTAATGCTTCCAGGGGTTCAGCGAGGGAGGTGCCTCCACTATCCGCAGCTGGTGAGTCCTTGGCTCTTTCGATTCGACTTTCATCACGAGTCGACGCACATCAGATATGATTCCGGAGCGAGGGTGAAGCTCTAGCCGAGATTGGTCACCGCGTCCTCACTCAATATTTCGGAAGGAAAACCTTGGAGGGGCAGTCTACAGACCCACAATCGAAACCGCGGCGCTCCGCCCTCACGCTCATGGGGCGAGAAAGTAGTCACCTGAGGTAGAGTTGCAGACTTCGAAAAGAGGTATGCGACGGCGGCGATGGAAACCTGCTCACAGCTTTCCCGATCGGATAGTCGCTTTCTTTGCCCTCCGATGGGCCGAGCATACGTTTCCGCTTACCCCTCCGCCGGTCTATCTAGGACCTAGGAGTTCGCTCAGAGCAGCGAATCACTCCAGCCGTACATTAACCCGCTGGACTCGAATTTAGGAGCTCATTTGAGAGCTCTCACGAAGAGCAGTGGTCGTAGATCTCCTCAGCGATCGGATTCGGGTCACGTCTCGATCGACTCAAAACGAATCAGCTCGTCAGATTGCGACTCGCCGAGGAATAGGCGACACTACTCGATTCTCGGAATCTCTTTGACCCGAGATCTTGACTCTGCCGGGAAGGATTCCGATAGAATCAACTGCTTTCCCCAGTCCCCTCAGAGCCTGGCGGATTCAAGCCCACGAATGGTTATAGTGGCGCCTCCAAGTTTTTGGGGCCGGTTTCACCCAATTCATTCTTCGAATTTCTGATCTCCCGGATCGCCTATGCTCAGAATTTCCGGCGCCAGGCACAGCCAAGCGAACCGACGGGTCGTGATGAAGATCCGCTCCTTGAGTTGATGTCGTCAATCTATGCCTCTGATGGAAGAATGATGACAATTGTGTTTGGCGCGCGGCCAATCGCGCTGCTCGTTTGCGCTTCCTCGAAGATGCAGGACGATTTGGAATTGGCACAGCGAAATTCTCGGATATTCGATCTTGGAGCAAGGCATGGGACGCCGTTGTACAGTCACTCACTCGAAGGAATCTCGAGAAAGTACACGTCAATCGACCCAAGGGAATTCGTTCCATGATTTTCCTTTCTGTCTTCATGACTCATTGGGAGTCATGGCTCCGCGATACCGGGTTTCGGATTTGATTCCTATAAAGCTCGGATATCAGCAAGTAATCTTTGATTTCCCTTGGAAGTTGAGATATAAGATTTGTGAGCTGCTGGAATCGTAGCCAGAAAGGGACTGCGATCTCCTCGCTAGCTTCGAATCAAGACCTTCCCCATGATTACTCTGTGATCTGTCTCGGGACCTCGAGAGATGCTGGCGCTGATAGCTCTGAGAACGCTCGAGAGTTGGATACTATATACCCTCAAATCATGAGGATCCGCTCGCCTTGAGGCGCGGCAAGGGGGGCTTCGGCGTTCCGGACCGCATCGTGCGTCAGCTCTCAGCGGCTTTTCAGGACGTGATTCCCCCCGGCACCCGAGAACGGAAGGGAGATTCAAATACGAATTCCGGATGAAAAGACTGAAGTTGGAATCGAGGGGATGGAATCCCCTTCAGCCGTTCCCGAGATACGAGCCGAGAGCCGTTTCGGCTAGCCTCGCCGGCACCGCTGTGTTTGCCGGAAGCAATCCACGTGAGGTATACAGCATAACGTGGATGCTCGAAGTGCCCTAGCGAAATCATTTGTTCCTTGACGGTGAATTGAACTGCGATCAATGGTGCCTCCTATGGAGATCTTGTAAACATAATTAGCACGGGATTCCTTTAACGAGTGGGCGAGTTGACGTGATCATTGAGTTCATGAGCTACACAATCATCGATCCTTGGATGCATGAATGAATGGACCGACGGACGGACGGACAAAGACTCACGGAAGGAAGGATGAGATTCGAGAGAGGGACAGAGAGAGAGGTAGATAGATAGGTAGATAGACTCATGATAGGCAAAACTCAGTCAGTCAGCTGGAGAAAGCCTCCCTCTGGAAGGTCAGCGAACTGAATAAGGAGGCGAACGGACGGGAAAGAATCAAAGAACAGGTGATAAACCCGGGATTTGATCTAACTCCATTCGTTCGCTCATGAATTGACTCTCAGATTGACATCCAATGCATCATTCTGTCATGGAAGAGTCAACCAACTATGGGGTGGAATTGTCCTTACCCGCGACGGGTCACCG